TTTTTTCTGGTCTGTTTTTTTCCGCCGCCGGATTCTGGCATTGACTTTTTTTAGTGTTTTTTATTTATTATTTTTTTACGTCCGGCCCTAAACGTTGACCATAATTGTGCTGTCACTACAGTAAATTAACCTAATTATACTCTCAATGACAGTTAATTAACGTAAGTGTACAGCCGTTGACAATACATTTATGTAATTGTTCTGCCGTTGACAGTAAATTAACGTAATATTTTTATTTTTTTTTTGTTATTTTTTTTGTTTGATTTGTTGACAAATCAACGTAATTATATTACTGTCGTTGGTAGTAAAATAACTGTAAACACAATAATATGATTGTCAACCACATCAATATTATTATTTTTTTGGATTTTTTGTTTTGTTTGAGTTATTCTCTGAGTAACGTAATAATATTACTGTACATTTTTGTAATATTACTGTAAACACAATAATATTACTGTGGTTGACGGTAATATTACTGTTGTTATAGTAATATTGTTGTCAACCACATCAATATTATTATTTTGTTTGGGTTTTTTTGTATGTTTGAGTTATTCACGGAGTAACATGATAATATTACTGTCTATTATTGTAATATTACTGTGGTTGACCGTAATATTACTGTTGTTCTAGCAATATTACTGTCACTTACAGTAATATTAATTCTTTTGTCTTTTTATTATGTTTACATTTGTTGAACGGTCAACATAGTAATATTACTCTATTACACAATAATAATGAGTTTTGTTGTGTTAATATTAGTGTGGTAGAGATTAATATAACAATATTACTGTGTTAAACTGTAGTATAGTAAATTTTACTGTGTTTAATAGTAATTTAGTTAAAATTATTGTCAATCACAGTAATATTGTTGTTTAAACGAAAAAAAGATGTTACAGAAAGAAAGAAAAAAAAGAAAAAAAAATCAAAAAAGTCAACGCCGGAGATCGGCGTTGACCGCCGGAACCGGTGGCGGAAAAATCAGGAAAAAAAGTCAACGTCGGAGACCCGCGGTGACGGACGAAATTGTCCATAAAAATGTGTCTTGGGTTAAAATTGAATAATTTGTGAAATTTGGGGTCAAATTGAGGTTAAATTAAATTAAAGGATGAAATTGGAGCATATTAAAGTATGATGGGCTATTTTGGTCTTTTACAAAAATTTGGACCATGTGTGGTTTTTGTTGTGAAAGAGTTTATTGGATCTCTTTATGAATAATTACCCATTAATAGGCTTATTTGTAAAGACCCCTTAAATTCATAGTTCGTTATTCGAAAAAAAGAGAATAAATTTAGAAATTAATATTTCGGTTATTCGAAATATTAAAAAGCCTAGAAATTAATTAGTTTCGAATTTTTTTTTGTTGTTAAAATTCGAAATGTGAAAATGATTTATCATATTTTTTTTAATTGTTTGTAAAATTTTGTTGTTAATTGTTCGGGATATTGTATAACATACAAAAAAAATTGATCTCGTGCCCTTAAAATTAATAGTTCGGTTATGCGAAAAAAAAGAAATTAATTTAGAAATTAATAGTTCGGTTATTCGAAATATTAAAAAATCCTAGAAATAAACCCATAAAAAGAAAAATGTAACTTAATAAAAAAACACAAATCGGTTTAATCGGAAAAGACTCTTTACTTCGAGTTTGGAATAAAGAGGTTGAACTCCAATCTTCGAGTTCGCAATACAAAGGTTGAATTCAGTCAACACACTAAAGTCAAACAGTTTGGGCCAACAATACAGGAATTTAGAAAAAATGAGAGTTTTATTGGTCTATCCAAACTCGGTGGTCGGAGTTTGGATAGATCCATGTTGAACTCGTCACTAGAAGAAAAAAAAAAGAATTAAGAGTTCAACGTGGATGTATCCGAACTCAAAGCAGTTCAACATAAATCCATGTTGAAACAAAAAACGAACATGTAAATCTGCATTTAACAAAAAATATACCTTGCCCGAAGCGGTCGATTAATCGGTCTTCGAGGCGGATGCGGTCCCAAAACTTTATAATTTTAGTGTCAAGGTTTGAAAATCGGGTTTTGGCCTGTGAGGCGGTTTTAGACGGTCAAACATTGAAGGCAGGTCAAACTTCGGTGGTAAAAATCAGCCAAAAATCGGTTTTTTTTTTTTTTTCAACGTTTTTACTTTTTTAATTCAAAATAAAAGTTGGGATTTTAATAAAAAAAATATATAAGTTTATGCTTTTTTTTATGTTAACTGTTATTGTTAAAGAATATAATGATGTATTGATGTATGCCAGGAATGTTGAAGAATAAATTTAAATTCAAACAATTTGCCTTTTTATTTATATTTTATAGGGATTTTTGTGCATAAGTCCACGACCAACCATCTTTATTATTCTAAGTTCAGGGGTTACATATATTTCGTCAATAAGCTCATCCCTTTAATATGTATTATAAATAAAAGAAAAAATAATGTATATGACAAAATTACCCCCAACCTTTTACACCCAATTCTTAATTGTAACCCCAATTTAGTCAATTTTGACCCAAAAATCTCAATGTAATCAGTTTTGACCACAAAAATTCAATTTTGATTATTTTTTGAACTTTTTTTTTTTCTGAAAGTACTTTTTTGTCGCAGGTTTCCGGCGTTGACTTTTTTCGATTTTTTTTTCTTGTATGCTTTTTCTGCCACCGATCTCCGGCGTTGACTTATTCGATTTTTTTTTCAATTTTCTTTTCTATCTGCTTTTTCCGCCGCCGTTTTCCGCCTTAGACCGCCGGTCTCTGGCGTTGACTTTTTTTAGTGATATTTTCCCCCCGTTTTTTTTACCTCGCCGCTAAACGTTGACCGTAACTGTACTGTCATTAAGAGTAATTATATTGTCACCAAAGTTGTAAAAAGCGGTAATCGGGTCAGAGGCTGCCAGGCATCGACTCACGATTAATCGGTGCGGCGGTGATTAATCGGTGATAAATCGGAAATAAATCGATTTTTAAAATTTAATATAATATATATCTCGATATTATTTATAAATACTAAAAACATATACAAAACGATATTTAAATATAATTACATCTCCATCGTGTATATATCCTAATAATATAATAAAAGTTTAATAATAATAAGATCATAATACTTAAATATCCTTATAAATTATAAATAAAAAGGCAATTTTTTTGAATTTAGATTTATTATTGAAAATTCCTGGCATACATTATTAGTTCTTTAACAATAACAGTTAACATAAAAAAAATAAAGCATAAACTCATATTTTTTATTAAAATACCACTTTTATTTTGAATTATAAAAAATTAAAAAAATAAATAAATAAAAAATGAAAAATAAAAAACCGATTTTTGACCGATTTTTGCCACCTAAGTTTGACCCGCCTTAAAGGTTTGACCGCCTCAGACCGTCTCAACCTGCCTCATACCGCCTAAAACCGCTTCCAGGCAAAAACCGATTTTTCAAACATTTACACTAAAATCGTAAAGGTTTTGGACCGCCTTCACCTCGGAGACCGATTAATCGGCCACCTCGGCCGATTTTTAGAACACTGAGTGTCACTGACATTACGTTAACATAATTGTACTGTCATTGACAGTACAATTAGAGTCAACGACAATATTATTATATTTTTGGCTTTTTTTTTGTTAGATTTGTTGACAAGTAAACATAATTATATTCCTGTCGTTGACAGTTTTTCAACTGTAATCACAATAATATTATTGTCAACCACATCAATATTATTATTTTTTTGGGTTTTTTGTTTTGCTTGAGTTGTTGACGGAGTAACGTAATAATATTGTTGTCTACTATAGTAATATTACTATAAACACAATAATATTACTCTGGTTGAGGGTAACGTAATAAGATTGTTGTCATACTATAGTAATATTACTGTAAACACAATAATAGTACTGTGGTTGAGGGTAATATTACTGTTGTTACAGTAATATTACTGTCAACCACATTAATATTAATTCTTTTGGCTTTCTACTATGTTTACCTTTGTTGAATGTTCAACATATTAATATTACTATATTACTCAATAATAATAATTTTTGTTGTGTTAATATTACTGTGGTATATTGTTGCCACGGTAATATTATTGTGTTAAATTGTAGAATAGTTAATATTAATGTGTTAAACAGTGATATAGTTAATATTACTGCCAACCACAACAATATTGTTGTTTAAACGAGGGCAAAAAGATGTTAAAGAAAAAAAAATTCAAAAAAAAAAAAAGTCAACGCCGGAGACCGGCAGTCAATAGCGGCGACGGACGAAATTGTACTCAAAATTGTGTTTTGGGTCAAAATTGAATAATTTGTGAAATTTTGGGCTCCCTGCACTTAAAAATTTGTATCAATGTGGCCCTTGCTGTTAATTGTCACACATTTGGCCTTAATATCGTTCGATCTAAGAAATTACAAAAACGCGACCCCTTTAAGTTTAAATAATTATTAAAAAACAAAAAAAAATAATAATAAAAAATTCAAGACAACGAGAAAGCATAGTCCACAACGGTAATGATTAATTTTTTTTTTTAATTTCTTAAATTTCTTTTATTTTTTTTTAATTTTTTAATAATTATTTAAACTGAGAGGGCTGACTTTTTTGTAATTTTTAGACTTAAATCAAACGGTGTTAAAGTCAAATGTGTGAAAACTAATAGCGATGGCCACATTGAGACAAATTTTCAAGTACAAGGGGGCCGAATCGATACAATCCAGAATAAAAGGGGGTAAAGTGATATCAAGCCAAAATACAAGGGGTTAAAGTGGAATTTACCCTAAATAATATCTAGAAATATATTATATTAAATTTTAAAAACCAATTTATTTCCGATTTATCACCGATTAATCACCGCCGTATCGATTACTCGTGAGTCGGTGCATAACCGCCTTCGACGCGATTACCGCTTTTTACAACCTTGACATTAGTACAACTTTCGTTTTATTGTTTCCAAATAGAGAAATCACCTTTACCATCAACAAGGTGTCATTAAATATGCAGATATAGCAGCCATAATAATTCTAACACACAATAAAGATCCACAAATTTTTCAAGGTAGGTCAAATATTCAACATAATGCAAGTTTAAACACGTTTGGAAGACGGGCAGTCTCGGAAACCCCCCTCAGAGGATCCCAGGGCACTAGTGGTCCGGTCGAGGAGGTATGGAGTAGGGAATCTGAGTGATACCAGCCCCGAGATGATATTTATGCAGCGGAAATTAAACCACAGATCACAGAATAAACCAAGGTAGTTTCAATCCGCAGCAGAATCAATAAACACAGCAGTAAATTCAATCCCAACCATAGTGGGGTCTAGAGAACAATATCTTGGCGAAATTCCGGTTCGAATTCCGTACGCCCTATTTGAACGAGCACCACCCAACTTGACGATGCTCGGGCACCACTGTTGGGTCGCCGTTGAAATAACATTAATTTTAGAGGCCATAAATCAAATAAATAATATAGAAATTAAAACCTATGGCCAATGGGATTAGGGATAACAAAATGATCTACTAATCAAAATTACAAGAAAATAAAGAAAGGTAGGAAAAACAGAAAGGCGAACGGCTCAGTCCACGTCTAAGACCCATGCCCGTGCCTCCAACACTTCGGAGTCCAGCCACCACCGAAACCCCGTCGGACCCTATAGCCTCGAACAGACCGTCGAGCTCCGAACCTAACCCAAAATCCCTTACTCAACCCCAAATTATCGAACCCCAAATCGATGCCTGCATGATCAGCTTGGGCTAACCTAGATCAATAAATATATTTATCATAATTATGTATTTGGAAAATGTGAGTGAAACAAATTTATGAGCAAGATTTTGAGATGCAAATAAAAGAAAGGCATGAAAGTCAATCCATACAAGTACTATTCAAAAGATAGTGTACCTGCTGATTTCCGGAGATCACATTTCTTGAATGTATATCCAACAAAATTGGCATCATCAAACAAAGTTTGGCAGCAAAATGAAGATCAAAATCTGCAATTTTATCAAGGATGATGAAAACGAAGAATCTTAACATGCAGATCAGAAGTTCGTTCTACAGTACCTAATTTATGATACATAAAGATATCCAAAATAACATGTAAAACACACAATATTATGCAAGATTTTTTTTCTTTTCAAGTATTGTCAGGTTAAAAAACTATCTATGAATGGCAAGTTATGAATCTTATCTCGAATATGATCCAAGTGACAACATATTTCACTACTGGAATAAATATCAAACATAGCCAGTTATTGGGAAGATGAGTTATTACCCTCATAAATAAATTTCTGGAGTACGCTGTATAGTTATTTACCGAGTTATTACCCTTACAACTTAGTAAATTAACTATTTGTGTGGCCATCATCAAAAGATTCATTTTTCAGTTCACAGTTTTAATTGCAGTACAGAAAAATGTAAATGTAGTTCAATTTACCTTCCTCCGATGCCCTATTCTTGGTGCATTAGATGGTGGCTGCTTTTCTTGCTTAGTTATGAGAAAGAAAAGAACCTAGGTTGTTCCGCAGTACATCCTAGGTAATATTATACCATGGAAAGACATAGATATTCCCTGCATATTAATCACGAGGAATTTTCAGACAATCAATAAGCAAAATGTTTTCGGCAATTTCCATGATAGATACTTCCAAATGCAAGTTCTTAAGCTGAGAAAAATACATCAGTACACTCTGTTTATATGCAGTTAGTCCCTCTACTTTGACCCTTAATTGTTTCTGTACACATCAAACCTCATGTGTGAGCTGTTTCTGTACACATCAAACCTCATGTGTGAGCTAAAGTACAGTCACATTTCGGGTTAGAAAATTAATCTCCACTATAATAAAACCTAATAAGCGTTCCAAAATTCAGCATCAACTTTGTCTTAATTCATCAACTTGAGTTGTACGATATTCAATCGGATATGCAGAGAACACTCACAGAGGATCTTGCCGATATAATTACTTCTCTCAGAAATCAGATCGTTTTTCTTTGATTTTTTTATTGGTTTGAACTACTATGTGTCCATGAAGAGGAGCGCTGTGAACAACTCAACTTCTTTGACCAAGTTAAGATTATAATTACATTTTCCATCTGGTGTAGTTAGTTGCTGTATTGTATCCTTTCCTAGCGGTTTGTATTAATTTTTCATTCAGCTATGCGCGGTACAAAATTACTTTAAGATGAAATATTGTGCGATTAACGATCTTTGCATAATAAGGACATTCTGTTGCACCACGTATAGTGGTGCCTGCACAAGTTAGCCTATTCACCACCATATGGTCTTACTCGAATCAGGCCTATTACTGCTTATCTGAAGATAACGAGAATACTACGTACTAAATATGATGATGATGATGATAATAACTAGTGATGCAGAGGTATACAGAATTTGCCTTATTTTCCGGAATTTCAGTTATCACTGAAACCAGATGAATATGAATTTACCTGAACTAGATGACTATTTACACACAAAGTAGAGATATGGTCAAAATTAGAATAACCCCTTGTAATCCGAGAGCAAAATTAACGAGAAAGGGGGAAACGAAAACTAGATTTTACCATACTTATCATTCTGAACAGACTAAAATAGGAATAAGAAAAGGTTTGAAATTATGCTTGGACAGAAGTGAATGGCCTAAATACAAAAAAGGTAAATGGGAATTAAATAAATACGCAAGGATTTGAGTTGGGACGATTCAGAGAAATAACAAGAACCACTGACAGCACAGAGATGCCGCAACCAATTTAAACCTAAATAACACGCGAAAAAACAGTTTGAATTAAGGGATTGAGGATTCAAGAGGGGAGAGTATGGCGTATGCGAAGAGAAATTTGAAGGGCCAGAAACAGTTGGATATTTTTCCGACGAGAAAATTGATGGGATCAAAGGCAGCTTAAACCGACGAGCTTGACGATCTGTATGATAATATGATAGGTAGTGTTTTACCGCATCGTCTTTTTTATAGCGAAATTCTACAGTAGACGCGCAACCATACTATTCAAATTCTAAAATACACACTGAAAACACGATTCGACAAGAACATTCAATTAATTATGAACAAGAAAGTAAAATTCTACAGTAAAACGAAGTAACCACTGAAAATATGATTCGGCAAGACGATTCAATTCTAAAGCCCGAGAGACTGAACGGAAAAAAACAGACAAACTAAACACGAAGACGAATCAAACACCGACGAAAAACACCAAACTAAAAACCATCCCAACAAAAAACCGAATCAATTGCAAGTGGATTGAGACGGCGCGCAAACCCTTCCCTCATCAGTTCGTCAAAATTGGACAAATGCGTAAAAACAATTACCTGTCCGCTATAGCCGCACTCTCGTTTAATGATTTCAACAACTCTGATATGATCCACAGTCTGGACTGGAATGGCGGTATAACTCAGAACGGCGTGAACCATAGATAGTGTAACATGATCGGGTATCGTCTGCACAAACTCATCGAGGAGAGAGCCAATTAGACGGAACTCAACAGCAATGAACAAGCCTCTCGTATAAAATGCCCCAGTCTCTAAAGGATCTGGCTCAGGGGATGAATCGCCGAACAGCTGCAACGGAGGAGATCGGACGCCGGCAGGAGATGGGGAACGACGGGACGGAGGCGTTGGGTCACGTCAGCCGCGGCCAGATCGAGGCGGAGAGAGAGGGTTTACGTCGTCACGGAGGCCGCGTCCAGATCCACGGGGATTGATCGGCGGAGGGGTGAAGTCACGGCGTTCGAACGCCAGATCGAGGGACCGGAGAGGGGGAACGGCGGGGCGGAGGTGTGAAATCACGGCGTTCGCGGCCAGATCGATGGGGCGGAGAGGGGAAGCGACGGGGCGGAGTCGGGGCGGAGTGGTGTCAAATCTGCCCATTAAAGCAATAATTAACACTAATTAAATTAGCACATTATTAAAATGTAAATAAAAGAATTGGTTGAAAATATATATACCTTTCAAAGTGAAACCTTTCTTCTCAAATCTGCCAAGGATCTCACCAACCTGAACCAAAAAAAAACGAGCACAGAAAAATTAATTAAATATTAACAAATATTATACAAAATTAATAGCATTTCTTCAAGATCGGACCAATAGAAATTATAAATTTTCCTTTTTTTTCACTTTACTGAACTGAAAAATTAAATCTAATTTATTTTTAAATAAAAAAACAGACATCTAGAACAAATTCCTAATTTTAGTAACGATTTGAGATAAATAAGAATACGAAATCTCAAACAAAGAAAATGTGTAATTAAAAAAAGAAAAAAAAAAACTAACGAGTCCAATCAGGCTTGATTTTTAAATGTATTAACAAATCTGCCGTGATTTCACACATCCGTCCCGCCGTTCCCCCTCTCCGCCCCTCGATCTGGCCGCGAACGCCGTGATTTCACACCTCCGTCGATCAATCCCCGTGGATCTGGACGCGGCCTCCGTGACAACGTAAACCCTCTCTCTCCGCCTCGATCTGGCCGCGGCCGTGAGGCAACGCCTCCGCCCCGTCGTTCCCCATCTCCTGCCGGCGTCCGATCTCCTCCGTTGCAGCTGTTCGGCGTTTCATCCCCTGAGCCAGATCCTTTAGAGACTGGGGTGTTTTATACGAGAGGCTTGTTTATTGTTGTTGAGTTCCGTCTGATTTGCTCTCTCCTCGATGAGTTTGTGCAGACGATACCTGATCATGTTACACTATCTATGCTTTACGCCGTTCTAAGTTATACCGCCATTCCGGTCCAAACTGTGGTTATAGTTTTGATAGGTGTGGACTCGGTTATTTCTATGCTACGCCCGGTGAATGTTACATCAGGTGATTTTTTACCGTTGATTTATACACACTAATGTGAGTAAAGATCTATCCGGTGTATTTCACCCAGTGTAGCATAGTCGAGTGGACTCCAAATATGCAGCTATAACGAAAATGAGAAATAAATGGCATGCTGCTAACCGTAAGGAGATAATATTTGTGTTTGATCAGGTTAGTTCACGCTAGTAGGATGATGAATTGACCAACATAAAGTATTAGTTTCGTAATTTAAGTAGTGATTTGGGAACGTAAATTTTTTGATTCAATTTATCCACTATCTTTTACGGTCTTTCTTGGGTTGCGGCTTAGGAAACTACTCAACAATAATCATATACAGTAAAATATCTATAAATTAATACAATTGAGATCAGAATTTATTTATTAAATTAGCAAATTATTAAATTATTGAGTTAATAATTTAACTTATTTTCACCCAGTCGAGACTGAGAGAAACTATTATTTAATCGAAATCTATATAATATATAAAAGTTGAATTCCACTCCTAATTGATTGACATTTGTCAATTTCAATTGGTGACATGTATTCAATTTCATCACATGTGGCAAATTGATTCGTGAAAATAAATCATCAAAAAACATGTCACCATTTTTCAAAGTTAAAAAAATATTTAATTATTTTATTATATATTTATATCATACCATTTATAAAATTCTAAATATATCAACTTAAAAACTCTAAATAGTTTTATTTTTTAAATTAATTTTAATAGTAATTAATTTATTTTAACTTTATTTAAATTCAATTTAAAATATTCACTTATTATAATTGTATGATTGATGGTGTTACGAAAAATTTTGTATTTTAATTCATAAACTTGGATTTATATAAAAAAATATTGCAGAATAAATCATTTGATATTATACATTTTACATGAACATGACCAGAGAATATGTTTATCTTTCTTCCTAATTTAATATTATATTCGCAATTACCAAAATTTCCCTGTTGTTTGTTTTCGTCTTACATCGACTCCCTTACGGTATGACTTTTCACAGAATTGTTTTTATTATGTGGAATATTCCCCGAAAAATGCAGATTCTACCCTCCACACAACATTTGTTTATGGTACTTTTTAAAAACAAAAATTACCATGAGGGGACCTTACACGAAGTATTTATTCTTCTTAAATAACATCGTCACAACTTTTTGGTATTACTATTACCTCCCCTAAGGGTAATCTTTGTATTTAAAAAGTAAGATAAAAGAAATGTCATGTCTGCAAGGGTAGAATCCACAATTTTTGGGATATTACATGGAATAAAAAAGATTCCGTAAAAAATCACACCATAAAGGGGTCGTGTAAGACATAAACAAACATTTGGGGGATTTTGGTAATTACCGATAAGTGGGGGTGATTTCCGTAATTTAGTCTAAGTTCATGAGGATTTTCGTAATTTATCCTATTAACAACGATTATCGTTATTTTCACGTCTTAATGTTTGCTTATATACCCTTATATTATTTTAAATAATTTTAATGTCAGTTTGATAATATAATTAAATATTAATTTCTAATATATTTAATATGTGTTTCTTGATGTTTCAGGTACCACACATACGGAATTTGATATAAAAGTTGCGAGATTGAATAGAATTTTTTTTGATACAAAATAATAGATAATTGCAAAAACATTGATGCAAAATCATAATTAGGATTGTGATTAGTATTAAGATTATAATTAATATTTTTTGAATTAGTATTAGTATTAATACTAGGATTAGGATTCGGATTAATATAGTATTATAATTAATATTAGGATTATGATTATGATTAATGTTAGTATTAGAATTATAATTAAGTTTATGATTATTGATTCGTACTACAATTAGTGAAATGTATTAGTATTATGATTATGATTAGCATTAGGATTAGGATTATGGTAAGGTTGTAAAAAGCGGTAATCGTGTCGGAGGCGGTCAGGGACCGACTAACGATTAATCAGTACGGCGGTGATTAATCGGTGATAAATCGGAAATAAATCGGTTTTTAAAATTTAATATAATATATTTTTAGATATTATTTATAAATACTCAAACAATAAAATAATAAAAGTTTAATATTAATAAGATTATAATACATAAATATCCTTATAAAATAATAAAATATAAATATTTTTTATCTTTAATTTACATTTATTCTTGAACATTCCTAACATATATCATTAGTTCTTTAACAATAACAATTAACATAAACAAAATAAACATAAGCTCATATTTTATTCATTAAAATCCCAACTTTTATTTTGAAATAAAAAAAAAAAAAAAAAAAACGATTTTTGGCCGATTTTTGCCACCGAAGTTTGACCCGCCATAAAGGTTTGACCGCCTAAAACCGCCTCACACACCAATTTTTCAAACCTTTACACTAAAATCGTAAAGGTTTTTGATCGCCTCCGCCTCGGAGACCGACTAACCGGCCGCCTCGACCGATTTTTAGAACACTGACATTAGCATATGTAACACCCCGCATTTTTGGTAAAATAATATTATTTTATTTTACCACCTCTATGTGCATATTTGTGAAATTAGAATTTATAATAATTCTTGCATGGTTAGTATTTACGTGAATTAGGTGATTATGTGAATTATGTGATTATGTGAATTATGTGCTTAGGAAATATTTCGAGATATTATGTCGAAATAAATTATTTTTTCATGAATTAGGATTTTATTCTTGCATATGAATTTAAATGAGCATTTCATCATATGTATGCATGCACAAAATTTTAGAAAAATAAATGTTTTCCATGCATTTTTGGATTTTTAATTAATGTAGAAAATTAGAAAATCCTCCTCTCATTTTTCTTGAATTTCCGGACATCACACACACACAAGATTTTAAAAAAAAATTGCATATTAATTAAGAAAAGACATGCATTAGTGTGGTTGTACTTTGAGCATACAAAGAAATACCTAAAAGCTAGCCTCCCTACCATCTAGACTAGGCTTGCTTTTCCACTCCCACACACCACTTTAAGACCAAAGGTCTTTCTTCTTCCTCTCCCCTTCAATTTTCGGCAGCCATAACACCTCCACCATAGCCACCACCTTCTCAAGCTTGAACCACCCAAGAACCACTACTACTCCTATTTACGAAAATTGCAAAATCACCCCCACAAAAAGAATTTTCCTTTCTTCTCCATTGACTTTGAACTCTCAAAAAACTCTATAAATACCTCCCATGCCCAAGATCAAAATTCACTCTCAAACTCGACTCTTACTATCCTTAAGTTCAAAGTCTCCTTCTATCAATAGAAGAAGAATTTTCGGCCAAGGCTAAGTAAGATTCCTCTTCCCCTTTTCTTTTTTTTTTTTCGAAAAGAGCCAAGCCCTTCTTCATTCAAGTCTTCTTGTTCTTCTTCTTCTTTTCTTAATACATAATCTAACTCTTAATCTCTTCTTGTATTAGAGAGAAAAGAGCTAACAAATCCTTCCCCTAAAGAGTAGAGGTGAGAATTCTTGAATTCTTGCTCAAACATGCAACACCACTAGTATTTTCGGTTTTTATGTGATTTATTTGTTGATTCTTGCATGTTATGTGATTATATGGCTTAGATGATGATTGCATGTTAGTATTTTGAAAAGATAACTTTGTTCTTGAAGTTTTATGCTTTTTCGAAAATTTGGGGAAAAATGCTTAAATTGCTTATTTGGCTTAATTAGTGCCTTGCATGTGTTTATCTAGTGTTTGATTGTTGATTTGTGAAAGAAAATGAATTCTTGGCCTAGCCATGAAACTTTCGGATTTTTGAGGGGAAAATGCTTAAATTGCTTATTTGGCTTAATTAGTGCCTTGCATGTGTTAATCTAGTGTTTGATTGTTGATTTGTGAAAAGAAATTGATTTTTGGCTTAACTATGGAACTTTCAAATTTTTTTGAGGTAAAGTGCTTAAAATTGCTTATTTGGTTTATTTGATATCTTGCATGTGTTGATCTTGTGTTGATTGTTGTTTTAAGGCCTTGCATGTTAAGATTTGGTGATTGATTGTTGATCTAAGGTCTTGCATGTTAAGATCTAGTGATTGATGGTTGATGTAAAGTCTTGCATGTTACGATCTAGTGTTTTCTGTGAAAAATGATGAAGGAATTAAGGATTTGTGCTAACTTGATTTAAAATACTCTTGCATGTGAAGATCTAGTGTATTTACTTGAATAAATGCAAAGATGGAAGTCTTGAATTTTATTCTTGTAAAAATGCTAGATTTAATGAATCTTTTATATAAATTGTCTTTGCATGTTAAAACTTCGGTTACTTTTATATTTTTATGGCTAGATGATTTCGTGAAACTTTATTTGTAATTTTCTATGTGCTCTTGCTTGCTTATGTGGATTATTGGGTGTGAGGATGAGAGAAGGGTAAGTAGAAGGGTGCATGTGTGGGTGCATTAGTGTCATGAACTTTTGAAAGATAAAAATATGATGGAAAGTTTTTCGAGGTTACGGTAAATATCCTGGGTACGCCGAGTCGGTACCGTAGGGCCTAGGGGTGGTTTGATTCCACGTAGATAGACGGATTCGAAATATATGAGGTTATTTACCGGGAACTTAGATTGACTCTTACGAGGGATTCACGATGATTTTTCATGTCATGCATGTTGCATTATGATGTTGAGGATATAGATGAGGAAATGTCACTCTATGGTCTTGGGATTGTAGGGTTATAAAGGTGGGAGATTCTCATCCTATAATCTTCAATACGTGTCATGGCATAGGGTTATAAAGGTGGGATATTCTCACTCTATGGTCTTGGGATCATAGGGTTATAAAAGTGGGAATTTATCTCACTCTATGCGTGTGACAATTATGTGATGAAGAACGCCGACGAGAAAGGGAAGTATATGATTGTTTTAATTTACGTTGCATGTCCATGTATAAGTTATATGTACGTATATATATAGATATTTGTATGCTCTATGTGTTATGTGTATTCGATAATACTTCAAGGTTCTCATTGAGCCCTCAAAGGCTCATATAGGTGTTGTATGTTTGTAGGTATACCCGATTTGGAGCCCGAGGAGTGAAGTTGGGAATCGAGCTCGAGAATCGGGAGGAGATCGTATGGAGGGGTTGTGGATTGTGTTGGCTCTTAATTTAGTTATGTGGTTTTATTTGTATAATATGCTTGTAAAAACTTTTGATACGGTTTCAGGTATTTTCTACCGTTCGTTTCCTCCGATCGATGGAAACTATTAAAAGACGATATGTGTAATAGTAATTAGGATTACCCTCTGGATATTTAATCGGTAATCCGTAGTATTTTGTAAACGAATGCGAATTTTACTATCTATATGCATGCACGCTTTTCGTCTAGTAACCTCTTCGTGTTTTGCCTCGATGTTTGAAAATTATTTTCATATAGGTGCTTTGCTTAGAAAATCATGAAATTTTAGGAGTCTTTGGATCTCTCTGTTTTAATCATTTTGATAGGTCTTTTTCATGATTTGGGTAAGTATTTAATTAGTTATGATTTGTTTCTCACTACTGCACTGAAACAGGGTCATTCGGGTGTTTTCTGGTATAACTGGAGTTTTACTCACTCAAATGCCTTGTTTCTACTTCCAAAGTGTTTCAAACTTATTTTTCTACTTTGGGGTAACATTTGGTAGTTTTTGGGTCAGTGAGGAATTTATTACGAATTTTCAAAACTCCCTCCCCTGTTCTGGATTTTAAACTAAGTGACTGTGCCATTTTATTGATTTCTACCAAATGGCCAAGCATATTTCAAAACTGTTTTAACTGAGTGATTAACTGAGTGATTTAGACCTATGTTAGATGGTATGGTATTATATTGGGCTCATTTTCATGAGTAGTTTAAGAGGAATTAATTTTTAAAGTTTCTGCATTGAATCTGTCCGAATTTGCATTAGGTCCATCATACCTAGTTATCTTCTAGCCTTGTATGTAGTAGGTATTTGTGTTAATTGACTGTTTAGGGTTTAATATAGTGTGACCTCTCTTCCTCTGATTTAAAACGAAATTTTTTACGTAAATTTATATCCACAATAATCTTTTTTTAAAAAGTCTTCCGCTGAGATTACATATAATAAGAGTAATCGAGAGAGGGGTGCCACAACATAGAATGAGAGTATTATTAGTAATAAAATTATTAGGATTATAATTAATGTTAGAAATAGGTTTAGGATTAGAATTATGATTATGATTAGAATTATGATTAGTGTTATGAATAGAATTAGGAATAGGATAAGGATTTAGATAATATTAGTATTACAATTATAATCAGCATAAGCATATCCAGATTAACATTAACATTAAAATTAGTATTAGCATTAGAATATGTACATTAGCATTAACATTAACAATATTAACATATTAGTATTAGTAATAGAATTAATATTAGTACTAGTATTAGTATTAATATTAGGATTAGTAATAGTATTAGTAATAGTATTAGTAATAGTACTATTATTAATATTAGTGTTAATATTAGTTTTATTATTAGTATTAATATTAGTATTAATATTAATATTAATATTAGTCTAAATATCAGTATCGTTATCAATATCAGTATCGGTATCGGCATTAGTATCGGCATCAATATCGGTATCGGCATCGGTATCGGTATACGTATAATATCAGTATCAATATTAGTATCATTATCAGTATCAATGTCAGTTTCAATATTCGTATCTGTATCATTATCAGTATCAGTATCAACATTTGTATCAATATCAATACTAGTATGAGTATCAGTATCAATATCAATATCGATATTAGTATCACTATCAATATCAGTATTTGTATCAATATCAATATTAATATTAGTATCAGTATTAGTATGAGTATCAGTATGATTCTGAGTATCAATATGAGTATGAGTATCAATATTAGTATTAGTATTACTATGAGTATCAGTATTAGTATGAGTATCAATATCAATATTAGTATTAATATTAGTATTAATATTAATATTGCTATGAGTATCAGTATTAGTGTCAATATCAGTATCAATATTAATATTAGTATTATTATAATATTACTATGAGTATCAGTATGAATATAAGTATTAATATCAGTATCAGAATTATTATTGTTATTAGTATCAGTATTAATCTTAGTATTTGTATTAGTATTACTATTAGTATCAGTATTAGCCGAATTAGTATCACTATTGGTAATAATATTGGTATTAGTATTGGTATCGGTATTGGTATCAGTACTGGTAGTGGCGTATACATCATATCTCTTTTGCAATATTTATAAGTTTTATTGTTGTTTGAGTAATGTGCATCACTAATTGAACGCCATTAGTGATAAACTTGCAGGTTATTTGAATATCTATTGTGTTACTTCTCTGCTACCATGTTTGTTGCTACCTTAGTTATTTTGCAGAAGATTCACATGATGTAGTAGATTGCAATCCAAGAAATAAAGTTATACCATATGTTTTAAATGATTTCACTTAATCTTGATATCGTGTTTTGCGCGCTTTCATGTTTTCTTATTTGTAATGTTTAACTTAATTTCATATGTTACAACTTTAAATTAAGAGATTAAGTTTATGTTTTTTTATTTCCTTCCATTTTCTTTTACTTGAATTGGTATTGTTATAAAGAGATAGTCGTTTACATCAATTTATTTTTCTCATTTTTAAACTCACCTCCGTGCAACGCACGGGTAAAATACTAGTTATTAATTTATTTATTAATTTATCGAGGTTCTACTATATTTGTACGCTGAATTCGACATCAATTGATGACTAAAAAGTTCCATCTCAACTTACAAAAGTATAAAGTCTTTGATTTTTTCTAATTTCTTTTGTCTATTTTCTAATTAAGGAAATATATAATTTCTTGAGATATTTGTATTTGCAGTCCTGTAATATTCTTAAATATTACTTGGCCAAAACTCTAATTTATATATTTTTTTTAATTTTTGCTTTAGGCCGTCAAACTGCATATTTGAAATGCACATGTGCTCGAGACTATTCCCCTTCCCATCTTCTTTTATTTAGTTAATGATTTTTTTTTTTGGCTTTCCGGGGGATTATAACATATTCCTTTGTATAGGCACATGTGCGCGCGCGCATATATATATATATATATATATATATATATATATATATATATATATATATATATATATATATATATATATATATATATACTAGTCGTTGGACCGCCGCGCAAGGCGCGCCGTCGGTGCCCAATCCACTGCATGTGAAAATAAGTTGTGATGAAAAAGCCCGTATGGGTGTAGCTCAACTGGTTTCGGAGGTGGTAAGTTTGTGTACGGTCCTAGGATCGAATCCTGGCAGCCGCAGTGTGAGAATATTAACTCCAATGAGGGTTGGTTCCTTGTGAGCACCAGGTCCGGGTCCGCTACCTTAACGGGCCGTTAAGTTACCATGATTTACATTCCTCCACCAATCCTTGTCGGGCCAAGGGATGGGGGCCCTAGGGGCAAGAAATTTCGCCTTTTGGTGCAAGTTGTGATTAAAAAAAACCCAGTTATTTTATTAGATAGAAATCCAATGGGATAAATAGTGCTACAAAATTAGATGTGGTTTTTTCTTTAGTATAGGTTATTCACTATGATTGCGCGTAACGAAGTTGCTATGGAATAAAAATGGGCTATTTTAGATGAACATTGAATGAAAATTAAGACCGATGAGTCGATAAAATTTGAAGATAAGTAGAAAGTTCTAGTGGTGAATAACTAAATTGGACCTTAAATATTTCTTTGATTTATGGTACAATGTTTTGGTAGCTAAAACGAAATTATTTATTCCAACTATTCTATTGACAATATTGCATAATATTTGTCTAATCTTTATCGATGGAGAGAAAAGATTGTTATTTCCTTGTATGTATATATTCCCTTTAATTTTCTGATTCATGATCTTCTAGTTTAGGGAAGTTAGGATTATGCTTAATGTATTTATACTACAGAGAAACAGCAAGAAAAGGCAGAATGAGTTTTTTCAATATACTCGTTTCTTACATGGTACCAGAGCGAGGATAAGACTTGACGAAATTCACCATGACTGGTGAAGAAAACAAAAGTGGCGTTGGAGGATCAAACACCACTGATAAGAAGATGTCGGGGCCTTATACATTGACGTCAAACGACAACCCGGGTAATGTTATTACCCAAGTACGGCTGAAAGGCGAAAATTACGACGAATGGGCACGGGCTGTGCGCACATCTTTGCGAGCCAAGAAGAAATATGGCTTCGTTGACGGAACCATCGAACGTCCCACCGATGATTCACCAGATATTGAAGATTGGTGGAGTGTTAATTCAATGCTTGTTTCATGGATTTTTAACACCATTGAACCAACACTTCGATCTACCATATCCTACATGGAAGATGTGAAAGATCTTTGGGAAGAAATAAAACAACGTTTCTCTGTGAGCAATGGACCTCGAGTACAACAAATAAGATCAGACCTTGCAAATTGCAAACAAAATGGGCAGAGTATTGTTACTTACTATGGTCGGCTCAAGTCTCTTTGGGATGAATTGAACAATTATGATCCAATTCCAGTATGTGAATGCGCGGGGTGCAAGTGCAATGTTACCACTAAGTTGAACAAGAAACGAGAAGAAGAAAGAATCCATCAATTCTTAATGGGACTCGACGAAGGTGGATATGAAACAGTACGGTCCAATATATTGAGTGCCGAGTCATTACCCAATCTGAATCGAGTTTACGCCATGGTGGTGCAGCAAGAGCAGGTGCAAATAATGACTTCGACGAAGGAAGAAAGAGGGAACCCCATGAGCTTCGTGGTGCAGGCCGGTCGAAATTCAGGGGGGGAGAGAAAGGAGAAGCCTTCGACGTGCTCGATTTGCAAAAGAAAGGGACACGATGCTGAAAATTGTTTCCAACGAATTGGGTACCCGGAGTGGTGGGGTGAGAGACCCCGTACAACAACTGGAGGACGCGGTAGTACAAATGGTCGTGGTACTCAACAAAATTATGGAAGGGGGCGTGGAGGTGCAGCTCGAGCCCACGCAGCACAAACTCCGAGTTTTGATGGAACAAGAAATATTGTGACAAATTCCGATAGAACTGGAATTACCGGCCTCAGTAATGAACAGTGGTCCGCTCTCCTCAACATCTTGGATTCTCACAAAGATGGTAATACGGAAAGATTGACGGGTAAGAATAACTCGTTACTTTGGATTATTGATTCAGGAGCTTCACATCACATGACCGGGACATATGAATGTTTGACTCATGTGCACAAGATTGCAGCATGCTCTGTTGGATTGCCGAACGGAGCCAAAACTTTGGCCTTGAAAGAAGGAATTGTGAACTTTGGAGAAAAACTTAAACTTCACAATGTTCTTTTTGTTCCTGAATTAAAGTGCAACTTGATTTCTGTATCACAGCTCGCTCTTGATTCTAACTGTATTTTCCATTTCACTGATAAAGTCTGTGCTATACAGGACCGCACTTCGACGATGCTGATTGGAGCGGGTGAACAACGGGAGGGGCTTTATTTTCTTAAAGAGGTCACTCCGGTGCGAGTATACTCGACTACTGCCAACGGATTGTTCGAGTTGTGGCATAGAAGAATGGGTCATCCCTCTCCTAGAATAGTAGATTTAATTTCTGAAGTAAGTTTAAATAGAAGGATTGGTAGCGTTGGAAATAAACCTTGTGACATTTGCTTTAGAGCTAAACAAACAAGAGACGTATTTTTTTCCAGTGAAAATAAAGCTAAAGAATGTTTTGATTTGATTCATTGTGACTTGTGGGGACCCTACCGAATTCCTGCTTCATGTGGAGCTGTTTATTTCTTGACTATTGTTGATGATTGTTCTCGTGCAGTTTGGATATTTTTGTTGAATAGGAAAACTGATGTTGCTTGTGTTCTTAGAAATTTTATTGTCATGATTAAACGGCAATTTGAAAAAAACGTGAAAGTCGTTAGAAGTGATAATGGAACCGAGTTTATGTGTTTACGAGATTATTTTGCCGAACATGGTATTTTGCATCAGACTTCGTGCGTTGGAGTACCCCAACAAAATGGGCGTGTGGAAAGAAAACATCGTCATATTCTGAATGTAGCAAGAGCGCTACGCTTTCAGGCACATTTGCCCATTAAATTTTGGGGTGAATGTGTTCTTACAGCTGGATATTTAATCAATAGGACACCGTCTGTCTTGTTGGAAGGGAAAACACCATATGAGATATTGTACGGACAAGGGCCTGACTACAAACATATACGAACTTTTGGGTGTTTGAGCTATGTCCATGATCAAAATCGAGATGGAGATAAATTTGCTAGTCGAAGTCGCAAGTGCATCTTTGTCGGGTACCCGCTTGGGAAGAAGGGCTGGAGATTATATGATTTGGAAAAAGAGACTTTCTTTGTTTCGAGAGACGTCTTTTTTGATGAAACGCAATTTCCATATGTAGACACGAGTGTCACAAATTCTTCTTTGACCACAGATGAGATTGCGGAATGTTGTGCCGATGACGAATTCAATGACATGGAACACACTACCATCTCGAATTTGGAGAAAGAAAACGCTGCTGAGAGAAGTAATATTGAACAAACAGTCACTTGTGAAGATACTGGAGAAAAAGATAACGGGGGCGATGATGTTGAGCTACCAGTTGTATCTGAAGAGGAACTCGGTAAAGGAAAAAGAGTTAAACATTCCTCTGTTCGATTGAAAGACTATGTGACCAATACAATTCAAGTGAGCCCCCCCGCGAGTTCATCACTCCAATCAAAATCCTCAGGTACTCCTTATCCCATTGCAAATTATGTCAATTGTGACAAATTTTCTCTATCGCATCGTTCTTTTCTAGCAGCTGTTGATACAGGTCATGAACCTAATTCTTATGGTGAGGCAATAAAAGATGAACGGTGGAGAGAGGCAATGAGAAAAGAGATACATGCTCTTGAAAATAGTGGGACATGGACAGTAGAAGACTTGCCTCCCGGGAAGAAGGCAATCGGCAACAAATGGGTGTACAAGATAAAGTACAATTCGGATGGAAGCATCGAAAGATGTAAGGCGCGATTAGTAATTCTTGGCAACAAACAAGTTGAAGGGTTGGATTATAGTGAGACTTTTGCCCCCACGGCAAAAATAGTCACTGTTCGTACGTTCCTGGCTATTGCCGCTGCGAGAAATTGGGAATTACATCAAATGGATGTTCACAATGCGTTTTTGCATGGAGAATTGAATGAAGAGGTTTACATGAAAATGCCACCTGGTTTTACTCCGCCAACACCAGGAAAGGTATGCCGACTCCGAAAGTCTTTATACGGATTGCGCCAAGCACCAAGATGTTGGTTCGCCAAGCTGACTACGGCCTTGACCAATTACGGATTCAAACAGTCTAATTCTGACTATTCTTTGTTTATTTACAATGATCGAGTGATTCGCCTCAATGTTCTCATCTATGTTGACGATCTAATTATTTCTGGGAATGATGAAGTGAGTGTGCAGAAATTCAAAGATTATTTGAGCAAGTGTTTTCATATGAAGGATTTGGGGAAATTGAAATATTTCTTGGGCATCGAAGTTGCCCGAAACTCAAACGGTATCTTCTTATGTCAGCGGAAATATACGCTCGACATTATTGCTGAGGCAGGCCTATTGGGAGCTAAGCCCGTCGGTACTCCGCTCGAAGAAAATCATAAATTAGCATTGTCTCAAACGGCTGAGTTGCTTGATCCGGAAAAATATCGGCGTTTGGTAGGACGACTAATCTACTTGACGATTACTCGTCCCGAATTGTCTTATTGTGTGCATATACTTGCACAATTCATGCAATGTCCGAAGCATGACCACTGGGAAGCCGCATTACGGGTTGTGCGATATTTGAAAGGAAACCCTGGACAAGGTGTACTGATGCGTGCTAATTGCGATTTGAAACTCTATGGCTATTGTGACTCTGATTGGGCAAGTTGTCCCTTGACTAGACGTTCATTAAGCGGATATTTTATTTTTCTTGGACAGTCACCTATATCTTGGAAAACTAAAAAGCAACAAACAGTGTCTCGTTCTTCGGCAGAAGCAGAATATCGGTCCATGGCAACCGCCGTGTGTGAATTGAAGTGGTTGAAACGTCTATTGTTTGATCTTGGTGTGGCGCAGATTGAACCTATGCGTCTGCATTGTGATAGTCAAGCAGCTTTGCACATTGCTGCAAATCCTGTATTTCACGAACGCACAAAGCATATTGAGGTAGACTGTCACACTATACGCAATGAGATACAAGCAGGCAATATCCAAACTCAATACGTGCATACTACTTTACAGCTTGCAGACATTTTCACCAAGGCTTTGGGAAAACGACAATTTGATTTCATTCTGAGCAAGTTGGGCATTCAAAATCCTCATGCTCTAACTTGAGGGGGGGTATTGACAATATTGCATAATATTTGTCTAATCTTTATCGATGGAGAGAAAAGATTGTTATTTCCTTGTATGTATATATTCCCTTTAATTTTCTGATTCATGATCTTCTAGTTTAGGGAAGTTAGGATTATGCTTAATGTATTTATACTACAGAGAAACAGCAAGAAAAGGCAGAATGAGTTTTTTCAATATACTCGTTTCTTACATATTCACACCGAAAGAATCACTACTATTAGGGGTGTTCATAAACCCGCCAAACCCAACCCGCCCGAGACCCGCCAGTTCTGATTTTAACACTTTGGGTAGCAGGTTAAAATATTGACACCCGGACTTAAATGGGTCGGTTCTCGGGTTTAATTTTAAAGACCCGCCCACAACCCGACCCGCCCGTATATATATGTATCATATCTAGGGTTTAGGTTTTCAAGTGCATTCTGCCGCTTCTTCTCAATGGAGGGGTTCAACTTCACTAGCCATTTTTCTTTGAGATATTTCTTCTACTCCCAAAATGTACATGTACCCTTCATAATTTTTTAATTATTATCTTCAATTGAAGAGCGCAGAAGTCAAGGAATGTTTTCTTTTTTCTTTACCAGTAACTCACCACTTACATCTACCACCATTATTTCTTCTTCCACTATAAGAGTTGTTGATGTTTATCGGATGGTGATTTGTCATCCCAAATTTCCATTCGTATACAGAATCTTGGTATCGCCGTCATATTCCACCAACTCCATTAGATTCCATAATCAGAAACCCAAATTTCTTTTTATTTGTTTTTATATGATATTTTTCAAATTTAAAAAGGTGTTGGGGTTTTAGATTTTGTAACCCGTTCGCCAACCCGCCCGACCCGAAAAGGACCCGAACCGAGCAGTTCGTAAACATAACTAGGCAGGTGCGGTTTGCCACGTTGTAAACCCGCCTATGTCGGGTCGGGTTGTTTTTTGGTCTAAACACGCCCAAACCCACCTGTGTTCACCCCTAACTACTATGAATTTTTTTAATAGATTAAAGTATTTAAATACACTAAATATGTACGAATACTAATGTTAATATAAAATTTCAACTAACCCTATATTTTAAATAAAATTAAGTAGAAACCAGTAAAAGAAAAAAATTCCTACAGTTATTATACACATTTAGACGTAAATTATATATTATTAAGGGTCCATTTGATATACACCCCTCATATGGAAAATATATAGGGGTAAGTCCACCCCTAAAAATCTTCCTTTGAGATACCCCCTGGAGAGGTCAAAGTACTATTGTGCCCTTAAATGCAATTATCGCCCAACTGCACTCAGTAATTTCGCCAACTGCATTCAGCACTATAAGCCAACTGCATTTAGTATTTTTGGGCCCTGCGTTTATCATTTTTACAGATTTTTTTAATAAAAAATATAAATGTTTATTTTAATTATTACTTTTTATATATATCCTTTTTTTTATTTTTTTATTTATTTTTAATTTTTTAATTTTTTAATTTTTTAATTTTTTAATTATTAATTTTTTAACTTTTTAATTTTTAATTTTTTAATTTTTTAATTTTTAATTTTTTAATTTTGTTTTTTTAGTTTTTTTAATTTTTTTTTATTTTTCAATTTTTTAATTTATATATTTTTTTTATTAATTAAAATTTTAATAAATTTATTGTACTGAAAGTATACTACACATGACTATAGTATACAAATTATATAGTCATGTAATGTCTTTTTACCCCTAAATTCATTTACAACAATAATAAAATTCATGATTTGAAACTTGATATTATAAATCAACTAACCAACAAATGAAAAAACACAATCGCATGCATTATTCTTCAAACATAAACAAACATTATTGTACATTAAAAAACATTAGGCATATATATAACTATATGTGACTATCGTTATCTATAATTATCTATACTTATGTATAGTGACATAAAGTCTGGAGTACTGTAGCATCAATGTAGACTTCACATGTTGCGGTAGTATCTTATTA